CGAAGGTGCACCTCGAGATCTTCAGTGGGGAAGTTGGTCCCGGGCGCTGCGGCGAATCACGGCTTCCCGCCTGGCGCCGCGGGTCCTTGAGGTGGACGTGGACCACGAGCCGATCCTCGGCGACCTCAGCCGGCGGCGAGCCCAGCGCGTCCTGCGCGGGTGGCTCCGCGGTGGCCTGCTGCAGGGCGTCTGGCTGGGGATGCCCTGGGTCACTGGCGCGGAACTGGCTCAACGGGCCGCCAGCATTACGGGGCGCCACCCACGTACTCGGGCTGCCCAATCTGTCGTCTGGTGACTCTCTCAAGGTCGAAACGGATAACCGGCTGTCGCAGTTCTCGTTCAGCTTCTTCCTGGAGTGTGCCAGGCGCGGAGTCCCCGCCGCGATCGAGAACCCATCCACGTCTTGGGTCTGGCAGACTCGCTGGGCCCAGCGCGCCGCTCGTCAGCCAGGGGTGAAGATTGTAGAGTTTGACTTCTGCGCCGTCGGCACCGCCTGGAGGAAGAGGACCCGCGTGATATATGTTCATCTGAGTTTGGACGCGATCAGCAAGCGCAAGTGCACGGGCCGTGGCCTCTGTTCTTTCTCACATCGACCACACCGAGCTCTGGGGGGCAAGACGCCGCCCGGAGCCTTCTGGACAAAGATAGTCGAACCATACCCGCCCAGATTGCCCAGTGCCCTTGCTAGAGCCGATCGTGAAGCCAGGTTGTCATCCACGCACCAAGCCTTGGTGCGATTAGCGGCCTAGTGGCCAGTTAGATCTTCGGAGAGATGTTTCGAGGTCGCTCCTGTTTGTCCTGGCCTCCCGCGTCTCAGCTCGACGCGTATGGATTGTGCACTCTGGCTGGACAACGCCTGCGAACAGACACTGTCGAGATGCTGGCCTGGAAAGAGAGCGGGGTCGAGGATTCTCTTCTTAGACAGGGAATCAATGTGGTACAATATACGCGGTGCCAACTAGGTTGTGCAATTCAGGCGACGGCGACAACATAGCCGCCAGACCGTCGCTCAGACCCAAGCGACGGGCGGCGACGAGGCGGCGACTGCGCGGCGACGGCGACAACGTAGCCGCCAGGCCGACAGTGAGGCCCAGACGACGGGCAGCAACGAGGCGGCGACAAGGCAGCAACGGCGACAACATGGCCGCCAGACTGGCAATCCGGCCCGGTTCCTCACAGCAGAAGTAGGAGCTCCTGAGTGCAAGCACCCTTTGGGACAAAAGTGGTACACTGTAAAAGTTTTGGTCGTTGTTGCTTGGAGCTCTTTTTCAAGTTTCGACCGCGAAGCATCCGAGCTACATTCAGGATGTCGTCGGCCATCACTCAGGAGGGAAAAAACACACAGACACAATTACTTGTGGATCCCCCCGAAAATATGGGAAAATATGGAAACCCAAAAAATCTAAAAACCCCCAAACTATCGGGAAACATATGGGGAATATGGCTATCTGTGGCTATTTATTTGTGTGTCCCAGTTCCCCTTCACTCACTTCGCGTGCCGAGCGTATCTCCGACCCTGGTGTGGAACGCAAGCAGCACCTCGGCAGCGCGAAGGGTAGTCGCTTCGCCCTGCTGCCTCAAGCGGGCGCCGTGGGCCAGTTTCGGGTATGGCCAGGACCCCGGGTAAGGGGACCCGGTTAGTGGTAGGGCCCTGGGGCCCCTCAGTTGGCCAGAATCACTAAACCAGGTTTGTTGTAACCGGTGTTTGTCGGGCGACGGCAGTTCCGGTTAGTGGAGCTGGGACGGGGGGGCGCCTCCGGCACAAATCACTAAACCAGGTTCCACTAAACCCGGTTCTGCCAACGCCCGACAGTTCGAGACAATCTGGCAATGCAATCGCAGTCCACAGTGTGGACGCGGTACTTCCACAGGGGCACCCTCGCATTCTTGTCTCCTCGGCCAGTCCTTGGGCAGTTTCGACAGCCATGGCCGCCTGACGTGGCCGGCCCACGTCCCGAGGGCCTCGCATCCCTACTTTGCGCCCTTGCTATCGTACTCGATTGCGTGCACGATCGGTTCAGCACAGCTGCAGTCCAGAGGGGCGCGCCTGCCGCGTATGCCGGGCAGCAGTGAAATGTGTGCCCAGGGGGTCTGTTGCTGGCGCGGGTGGACGCCAGCGGCGCCCGATTGGTCTCGCCTGCGACGGGCGCAGGCTCGATTCGGTATCGTTTAGCCGATCCCCATCCCCATCCCCTTCGAGACCCCCACCAAATGACCACCCCAGTTGGAAATACACCCCTCGAAAGCCGAACCTATCGACCTGCATCCCCATCTAGGGGGGCAAATCGGCCAGCGGGCCCCAGGCCACGCCGCGGGGGGTGGGAATCGGTGGAACGATACTCATCGGTCTCGCCTGCGGCGGGCGCAGGCTCGGTCATGCCAGGCCAGGGTGCCCGACCTACCCCCAAACTTGGAGCAGGAGGAGGAGGAGGAGTAGGAGGAGGCGGAGGAGGAGGAGGAGGAGGAGGAAGTGGAGGAGGAGGAGGAGGAGGAGGAGGAGGAGGAGGACCCCCTGTGCCAGCGGGGCGGTCGCCCGTGCGGTGTCCTCTCAGAGAGCCGAGGAAGAAGAGCCATCCCAGGGGACCCTCGCAGGCGATGGTGGTGCCGATGATGGGCCCGTTTTCCACCACCACCACCACCACCACCACCACCACCACAAGTTGGAGGGGGAGGGGGGCCTCCTCCTCCTCTTCCTCCTCCTCCTCCTCTTCCTCCTCCTCTCCTCCTCCTCCTCCTCTTCGTCCTCCGTCTCTTCCTCCTCCTCCTCCTCCTCCTCCTCCTCCTCCTCCTCCTCCTCCTTCCCCTCTCCAATTTGTGGTGGTGGTGGTGTTGGTGGTGGTGGTGGTGGTGGTGGTGGTGGTGGTGGTGGTGGTGGTGGTGGTGGTGGTGGTAAACAGGCCCATCAGTCGAGGGCGTCAAACGGTGCGGTGGCCACAGCGTGCGGTGAGTCCGTGGGGAATCGTTGTGATGGCATTTTTGAGGGCTTCGGGCCGTTCTCTCGACGACGTCTCGGGCGCCCGGGACCTGCAGGGTCCCAAAACCGTGCGGCGACGGACCGTGCGGTGAGGTTTTGGAGGAGGTTTCGAGGTCACCACACCGTTCATCACCGCACCGTCTGCGGACCTACAATGATGTCGGGTGCGTCCAGTCGGGCGATCGCAAGCATGGATCAAGGGGGCGTGGATTAGCGACTGGTCCCGTTTCCATGGGAAATCGCGGATTTCCGCCGCCGAGCGAGGCGGCACAGGCCGCATTTTGGGGACGGCACCTCCCCCCCGATCCATGGACTCGGCGACCGCTCGCCAAGTCCACGCATCGCTGATCCAGGCCTGCGCGCCCCCGTCCACCAGTGGCTTGATGACCAGAGGGGGGGGATGTCTCGGCCAGGGCCACGAGATCTCACAGATGTCGTACAGTCGGGGCCTTGAAGAAGGAACCCTTTTCGTTGGGGAGGGGCTCCGTGTACCTTAAGTGTTTCGCAGTTTGCCTTAGGTGTTCCTTATGTTTTCGATCTGAAATCGAAGTTTAACTTGTGGAAAAAGGGGGCCTCGTTCCTTATTTAGGGTTCCTTAGGTCAACGCCCCGACTGCAGCACGCTCCCCGGCCCCCACGTGTCCGCACAGGTCCTCGGGCCTCGGTGCGCATCCCCCCCCCCTCGCGTCCTCTTGCCCTACCTCCTCGGCGCGCACGGGGGCATTGGAAAAGCGGGCGGTGCAGCACGCGAGCGGGAGCTGGCTGTCAGAAGCCGGAGAGGACGCTGAAGGCATCTGTAATGTTCTCCATGTTTCATCTTGCTCACGCACCGTCTGGTGCAAGGCTCTGCCTGACCTGACCTGACCTGCCCTGCCGAGGGGCAGTGGGAGTGGAGCTCGGAGGACGCGGGCGAGAGCCATGACGAGGGGCAAGAGGAGGGTGAGGGCTCAGGGTTTCGACGAGCACGAGGAAGGAGGAGGAGGAGGAGGAGGAGAACGACGGCGACGACGGCAACTCGAGTGCGAGGAGAGGGAGGAGTAGGACAGAATGGGAGGACGATCGATATGGTTTCACGTTTGTGGCCCTTCTCAGGCTTTATTGGGGCGCCCTCGTCGCTACGCCTTGATCCCCTTCCAATCCGAGCCAGAACGCGCCCCGGGACAGATCTGGGCGTCGAGGAATTGATCTGGGGCGGAAAAGAGGGGGGTGATGACTAGGGGGGGGGGGATATCATGGCGGGGGTCATGATATTTCCCCAGATTTCGTGGCGCCTCTTCTTATTTCATTACGTCCCTGGCCCCCCCGCTGGACCGCGCACATTCCGCCAGTCATGATTTGCACACCCCCCTCGTGGACACCCCCCTCTTGGCCGCTCCCGAATTGAGGAGGAGGTGGGAGTAGGGACGGCAGCTCGACCAGGAGCGGGAACGGAACCTTCCTTCGGACGATCGCCCGCTCCGGGCAGGGCCGTAGCCTCTCAAGATGGCCGGCGGGTTGCGAGCTGGTTCGGAGAGTTTGCGCCGGAGGATAGGGGGCCACTTGCGAACCCTACCCCTACCCCCCTACGATTTCTGAGGGGGAGGGTGGGGTTCACATGATTCAGGAGCTACCGAGCGAAGTGAACCCCACCCTCCCCCTCAGAAGTCGTGGGAGGTAGGGGTAGGGCTCGCAAGTGGCCCCCTAGGGGAGGCATCGGGAGCCGAACTTGTGGCAGATTGGCGTGTCCAGTGTCGTCCGAAGCGTTTTCCAGGGCCGCCACTCTGCGCATGTCCGGTGCTGCCCACGTCGTGGTGTTTGCAGGCGGGTCGCTCGGAGGGCAAGGCGGAAGTGGAGGAGCCCTGACCTTCCAGGAGGGCTAAAAACTAGCACGCGACTTAAAAACCCTATCCCAGAGCTGTTCTATGTCTTGGTTTTAGGCTGTTTCGTTTAGTTTGTTGGGCTTTTGGGCCTCCCGTGCTAAAAAATAGCTCTCTGGAAGGTCAGGGTTGGAGGGGAAGGCGGAAGTGGAGGAGGGGAGGAGGCCGGAGACTCGCGCAAGGACCTCGTTCTTCTTCAATTTCTTCGGGAGCGGCCGGGAACCGCTGCCCATCGTCGACGGGTACCCGCCCACGCTGCCCCCGGTCTACAAGACCGTAGGCAAAGCGAACATGTACGAGCTCATCGTGGAGCAGAAGCACAGGCCGTCGAGGAGGGGGAGAGTGAGCACCTCAGGGGCGTGGGGGATGAGATGCGTCGCTCCTGAAATCACCCAGTCTTCGCCGATAGGGCCCTGACAGCCCGCCCGGCCGAGGAGCGTGCGGACTCGGTGGCCGACCGCCGATCTGTCGGCGATGTGTCGCCGATTCCAAGGCGGCGTTTCCCCCCTGAGCGGGTCCCCCCCTTCGCTGCCCCTCCGCACCGCGGAAGAGGAGCAGGAGGGGAGATCGAGGGCCGAGGGCCGAGGGGGGAGGGATCGAGACTCCAGGATCGGGGGTCGAGGGTTGTAGAGCGAGGAGGAGCAGCAGGCGGAGGAGAGAGAGGAGCGGCCGAGGATCGAGGGCTGCCGAGGAGGGAGTGGGGATCGAGGGGAAGAACCCGAGATCGAGAGCCGCAGATTGGAGCGCTTGGGGCAACGTGGGGTATCTGCAGAAGAACCCTGACCTTCCAGGAGGGCCAAAAAATAGCACGCGACTTGAAAGCCTATCCCAGAGCTACTCTATGTCCTGGTGTCCGGCTGTTTCGTTTCGTGGTTTAGGTTTTTGGGCCTCCCGTGCTAAAAAATAGCTCTCTGGAAGGTCAGGGGATGAGGCGGGGCGATTGGGGAGGGCAGACGCTGCACGCCCACCACCAGCGGGGCCACCTCTAGCTGGGGGGTCCACGACGACCCCTCGAGCTGGAGGTCGGAGAGGTCTCGAGCGCGACGCCGCCCAGCAGATTGCCGCAACCTCAGAGGGGAGCCTCCCCGGCTATCGGCGGTGATGGTGTTGGCACCGCTGCTCCTCACTCCCAATCGAGGGGGCCTTGAGATCAAGGATCACAGGTTGAGGTGTTTGCTTTCTTGTTTGGGCCGCCCGGGGCCGCTTGTCATAACGTTTCACGTCGCCTTGTAATTCTGGTCATCACGCACTCCAGCACACGTCCAGACATCGATTTCTGGGGCAGGAGGATGAGCAAGAGGAGGAGAAACCGCAGGAAGATCAGGAGGGAAGGGCGAAGACGAGCAGGTGAGGGAGGAGCAGGAGGAGGGGAAAGCAGAAGTAGAGCAGAACAGGAGGCGGATGAGTGAGACGATGGTTCTTCCACTTTCGTTTCCTTCCCCCTTGTGTCCCTTCCCCTCCCCCTATCACCTTCTCCCAGCCCCTCAATTCACCCTCCCCCCCTGCGCATGCTTCCCCTCCTCGTTTTTGTTTTTTTTTGTGTTCGTCCTCGCTCTCTCTCTCTCTCTCTCTTTCTCTCTCTCTATATCGCCTGTACAGGGCGGTTGTGACTGACCAGCATTTTCTAATGTTTGACGAGTGTGGAGGCAAACCTCGTTGTGTGTTTTTGTGATGTACCTATGAGGTTTGGCACGACATTGTGTTTAGTGTTGGGGGGCGAAGCGACTTGCACAGGCGCAGAGAGCACAGAGATGCGATTGTTGCCTTTGTGGCTCAACCTCTAAAAACCTCATTGTCCTCCGCATCATCACTATCATCGTCATCGTCGTCATCGTCACAAGCACCGTCACTTTCACCATGGTCACCATCACCAATCGTCATCACCGACACCAGCATCAGCATCATCGTCAGCAGCAGCATCATCATTACCCCCATCACTATCGCCATCAGCATCGCCACTATCGTAATCATCGTCATCAGCATGGCCGCCATCATCACCAACATCATCATCATCACCATCATCATCATCATCATCATCATCATCATCATCATCATTATCATGACCCCCACCATCATCATGCCCCCACTATCATCATCATCATCACCACCAGCAGCACCATCAACATCACGATCACCACCAGCAGCACCATCATCACTATCACCATCATCATCAACCCCTTCCTTTTCCTTCCCGCCCTTTCCCATCATCCTCCCCCTCCTGCATTAAGCGCTGCTTCGTGGTCCGCGCGGGGCGACGCACTTTCGGTTTCGGCGACGGCCGGGGCAACCAAGGCGTAGCCTTCGAGGACCTCGCTCCGACCCCCTCCTCCGCCGCTCCTCCCGACTCCCTCTCATCTCCCCCCATCCACGTCATCCTCCTGCCTGGGGGTCTGGTGTCAAAGTGGCAAATACAAAGATCATGTCGTGCGCTTTGATGTCATGCGGTTGCGCCTGGTGTCCTGATCGTGATGTCGCGCTAAAGTTCCTCCAAACCCAAGGGGGCGGTGTGCTGGTGGACTCTGTTGGCAATAATGTTCGATGCGCGCCGTGTTTTTGTCCGTGTTGAGCACTCCTGAAAGTGTGGGGGTGGGGAAGGGTGGTCTGCCTTAACTGTGATGCAGCCCTCCGCAACGCTCCCACGGGTTGGTCCCTTGGGGGGCAAGCGGGGCAGTATGTCGGCAACGATGCACGGTGTCGTGTTTAGTGGTGTAGGCGGGGTACAGTAGATGATGTTGGGCAAAACTTGGTGAGCACAGGACGTTTGACCTTACTTTGCAGCGTCTTTTGCCGGACTTCCCCTAGCTTCATGATGCACTTTCCTCAAATCTGGTGTTGCCGAAGCGTTCGCACTGCATGCTCTGAGCATCGCTCTCTAAGTAGTTTGCTCCGGGATGCTCCGCCGGTTGAAGTACATGAACGCTCGTTGCCATGTTGACAGTAAGTGTCGGTTGAAGTTCTTGCAAATGTTTCAGACGGGTGTGATCGGCGTTAAAGCGAGAGCAATATTTTGAAAACGGCCAACCTTCAATCCGTGAAACTCGTTGACTTTGCTTGACGGATGTCAAGCTTTTCACGCAGCGCTAAGGCGAGAGCCACATTTTGAATTCCGCCCGCCCTCAACCCATTAAGCTCTTGCAGCGTTTCAAGACAAATGTGCGCGGCGTTCAGGCGAGGGCAACATTTTGAAAACTACCCGCCCTCCTTCTGCGAAGCTGTTGCCAAGTTAGAAGTTTCAGGATCATATATGGTCAGGAGGTCTCGGGCGAAACGCCTGGCCAGCCCTTCTGATTGGCATCAGAGTGCGGCAGGGAGGAAGTAGGTGGGCAGATGTTGCTTGCGCACGAGCCGCTCGCACTGTGCACGAGCCGAATTCCACGGCCCCAGTGGAGGTTGGAGAACCAGAACCCGGAGCCGCAGCCTGGGATGAGGGCGATGTGATTCTGCATGAGGGCGCGGAATGGTCGTTGTCATGTGATGTTGTGACGTGTTTCCCTGTTTGTCGACGCAGGAGTGAAGCGAAGTGGCATGCAGTTGGGTTGGGTTGTTGACGCCCGACGTCCTTTTGCAGAGGGGCCCTGTATACCCAGGAGCCCATCGATCATCAATGTATGCACCCGTGCTCCATGCTCCGTAATCATACAGGCACCAGGAGTCGGCCGAGCCATATGAATATTTCAAGCAAGCATGTTCGAAGCGGTCCTGCGCAAGCATATGTGTGTGCATCTTGTGGGAGGTTGTATTGCAGGTGTTGCAGGTGTTCGCGTGCTCCCGCATACGTAAGCTATGAGGCGCCATGCGTTTGTTGCTAACTTTCTGGGATAAGACAGGGGAATGCGCGCGCGTGCAAACACAGAGAAGCAATATACATAAAATATAAACTATATCCTGGCGAAGAGCCCAACCATGTGTAATTGTGAGTATCGCCGTTGTGGGTATCGCCTTCGGCGGATCTCTTTGTAAGACCACGATGCGTGCAAACGGTGTACCAAATGAGGCGGGGACGCATGCGGACACCGCTTCTGGGCCTTCGGTGGCGCTCCATATGGGGCCACGAAAAGTGTGAGAGATGTGCCGAAATGGAGCGGGGCCGCCATGCTAACGTAGCCATTGGGACCTTAGGTGGAGCTCCCTATGGAGCCACGAAGCGCTGTATTGATTGGGGGAGATGCATGCGAACACCGCCACTGGGGCCGTCGGCGGCGCCCCCTACGGGGCCACGAGGCGCTGTACTTGGTGGGGGAACGCATGCGGACACCGGGACTTAGGCCTTCGTTGAGCTCCCCACGTGGCCAAGAAGCGCTGTACTGCGTCGCGGAGACGCATGCGGACACCGCCACTGGGGCCCTGGGTGGAGCCCCCTTATTGGGCCACGAAGCTTTGTACTGGGTAAGGGAAACGCATGCGAACCATGCCAATGGAGCCTCTGGTGGAGCTCCTGTTGGAGCCACGAAACGCCGTACTGGGTGGGGGAAACGCATGCGGACAAAGGCACTGAGGGATTCGTTGAGCTCCCCATAAGACCACGAACAGTTGCACTGGGTGGGGGGGAACGCATGCGGACACCGCCACTGGGGCCTCCAGTGGAGCTCACTATCGGACCACGAAGCGTTGCATTGGGTAGGGGGAACGCCTGGGTGGGGGGAACGCATGCGGACACCGCCACTGGGGCCCTGGGTGGAGCCCCCTATTGGGCCACGAAGCGTCGTACTGGGTAAGAGAACCGCATGCGAACCATGCCAATGGGGCCTGCGGTGGAGCTCCATATGGGGCCACGAAACGTGTGAGGGGTGTGCAGAAATGAGGCGGTGGTGCCATGCGAACCCTCCCACTGGGGCATTTGGTGGAGTTCCCTATGGGGTCACGAAGCGTGTGAGGGGTTGTTTGTCGAAATGGGGCGGTGGTGCCATGCGAACCCTCCCACTGGTGTCGGCGGTGGGGCTCCCTATGGGGCCACGAAGCGTGTGAGGCGTTGTTTGCCGAAATGGGGCGGTGGTGCCATGCGAACCCTCCCACTGGTGTCTTCGGTGGGGCTCCCTATGGGGCCACGAAACGTGTGAGGGGTTTGCCGAAATGAGGCGGTGGTGCCATACGAACCCTCCCACTGGGGCCTCTGGTGGAGTTCCCTATGGGGCCACGAAGCGTGTGAGGGATGTGCCGAAATGAGGCGGTGGTGCCATGCGAACCCTCCCACTGGTGTCTGCGGTGGGGCTCTCTTTGGGGTCACGGAACATGTGAGGGTTGTGCCGAAACACAGTCATGTGAAGGCAGAGGTAAGGAGGGGGAGGAGGAGTTGAGGAAACGTGGGGCGCGGTCTCTTCCAAAATGAGGACCCAATGCTACAGTACAGGATGGTTGGGAACAAACAAATTGACAGCGAGGGTGAGAGACAGAAAAAGAGCTGGGCAGTGAAGGCGCTGAAAGGACGTTGCGAAGGATATCCAGAGGCAGCCTTGCCGGGACCGGCCAAGCTTCGAACGGGAGACGCCATACGGGGGAAAGGATCCTTCAATTTGCAGGTCTTGAACTTTCTATGTTACACAGCAAGTGCTGCGACGGCCACCCGCTGGAGGGTTCTCGGAACGCTGTTGAGGCCCAGTCACCCCCGCGCGCGTTCCGCGTTTTTTGGATCCTGGTCCGCGGGACAGGCGGCGGGGCGGTGCAGCCAGAAGGGGGAGCGGGAGGAGAAGGAGAGGAAGTGGAGGTCGAGGATGGAGGATGGAGGAGGGGGATACCCCTCCTCTCCCCCCTCGATCTCCGCCGTAATTAAGAGCAGCGGCCGTTTTGCCCGGTGTTGTGGGCTGTTTTGCACTGTTGGAGGAAGGAGCATCCTGAGGCCGAAAGAATTACGTGTAGAGCGCTGTAAGGCAGCAGTCTCCTGGCATCGCTCGGGCGTGTGCGTTTTTTCCTCGGCGAGGACCATCGAGGAGCATCCTTGACCATTTGCCGAAAAAACCACGCACGAAACCGAAAAAAACACAGGGATTCGGGGGCGGAAAAGAGGGGGGTGATGACTAGGGGGGGGGATATCATGGCGGGGGCCATGATATTTCCCCAGATTTCATGGCGCCTCTTCTTGCTTCATTACGTTTCTGGCCCCCCCGCTGGGCCGCGCACATGCCCGCTGGTCATGGTTTGCACTCCCCCCCCCTCTTGGACACCCCCCTCTTGGCCGCTCCCGAAAGATGCTTCTTGAATCCCAAGCACCCCGTTGCACAATCGTTGTAAGTGCAGCGATTTGTTCGAACAGTTTCGATAGTCGTTTGTGTTGTTGGAGGGTGAGGCCTCTGGAAGCCCGAACGTCCTGTAGCATTTCAAGCGTTGCAAATGCAGCGGCCGTTTCGCATGGTTTCGATGCTCGTCCTGCGTTGTCTGAAGGAGCTCTCTTGAAGCCCGACAAACCCTGATGCACCTAAGGCGCTGTCCGTGCAGCGGCCTTTTCGCTCATTTTCGATGGTTATCTTGTCTTGTGCCGTTGGAGGAAAGGGCTGATCGATGCTCGCCAGCCCCGCTTCACCTAAAGCGGTGTAAATGCAGCGAACTGTTCGCCCAGTTTCGGTGGTTGTTCAGCGTTATTGTCGGAAGAGGCCTCTTGATCACTGCCAGCCTGCTTGCACGACAAGAGTTACAGACGCTGTGAGTGCAGCAGTGTTTTCCCCTGGTGTCGATGGTCGCTCTGTGTCGATGGAGGAAAATCTTTCTAGTGCAGATGCCGTTTCGCTCGGTTGCGATGGTTGACGAGCCACATGTTCAGCATTCTAGGGCCTCAAGGACCAACACCAGTGACTGTGCTTGCCTCCACCGAGGGAAGATGCTCCCGATCTCGGTGATGGTGGTACCCCTGTGGTTCTAGGCCTCCTAGATGGGGTCAGAGTAGATGGGGTCGGAGGATCGCGCCGCATCGCCGATGCATCGGCGATGCGGCTCGATGTGGGGCCCGATTTTCTTCATGTCGACGTCGCCGATGCATCGCCGACGTCGACAATGCATCGCAGGTGCATCGCCGATGCATCGCCGATGCATCGCCGATGTATCGGCGATGCGGCGCGATCCTCCGACCGGATCTACTCTGACCCCATCTAGGAGGCCTCTAGTGGTACCCTTGTGGTGGTGTTGGTGCCAGTGTCCAGGTCCTCTCAGAGTCATCCGCAACTTGAACGAGCCCCGTGGCGCTCCGCTGCGTGCTCAGGCCGTGGTGGAGGGTGTTGAGGCCAAAGCTTCCATGCCTCGAGCCGTGCTGCTCAGGGAGGATCAAATACTTCAGGAGGGAAAAAAAACACAGACAAAATTCATCGTCGACTCCCCAGAAGATATGAGAAATTGTGGGAAGTGGGGGGGCCGACGAAAACACAGAAAATATAAGAAAATATAGGGGCTCCTGTTATTCGTGTGTATTTATTTGTGTGTCCCAGGGCCCCTTAAAAATAGTCCCTCACAGAATTGCGCACTGGGGGTAGGCGTGTCTCGCGTGCGATCTGCTGGAACTCACGCCCACGTTCCTCCGGCGCTGTCGGAAGGATCTTTAGCTGCAGACGGTTCTCTTCGCAAGCGATTGTGCGCAGACGCTGCACGTGCAGGTGGGCCAGGGGACGGGTCTGCGTTCACAGGGCGAGAGCGGAGCGCTGTCACACGACGGTCCTGAAAGATCCAGTCGCATCGCGAGGGTTGCCAGGCACAGACCGCCGTCATTTTGTTGGCCCTTGGGGTTCAGCGGAGTATTTCCCTGCACGGGTTCAAGGGGATTATCATATTCGCTAGTGTTGCCACACGTTGCGAACGTTCTTAGATACCACAAATGATCGACGCTTCGCGTATCCCCGTCGTCCCCTCTAGAAGCGATTATCAGGGGAGTTGCCTGGACCAAGGCAGTGTAGGAGCAAGCAGACTGAAGCCGTTAAACCGAGAATCGGGATCAGCTGCAGGCCGAGGAGTCAGCCATAGATGCCGTCGCAGATCTTCTGATGCGGAAGCCTCTTGGCATTTTACTTGGGCCATCTTGGGGCCCTCTTGGGCCCATGTGGGATTCCTTGCTGGCTCTCTTGGTGGCCCCCTTGGGGCTCTTCTGGGGAGCCTTGTGCGATGCGCACGGTCTCCAAAATGCGCCCGTGTACCCAGATGGTCGTAGCGTCTCTACGCCACAAGTTACGTATGCAGCCTTCGCTTTGCAGCGTTGGTGTTCGTCTTGAGGAGAGTTCTTTCGGAGCTCATGTTCGACTGAGCTCCGTCAGGGGCTCGTGATAACATGTGTCAGGCTATCGCCACATTCGCCACCCTTTCGACATGTTTGGTACCGCGGCTCTTCTCTGCGGGCGCTGAGTGAAGAAATTGAGGGCAACCATGGAAGGGGAAGGTGAGGCTGGCGAAGACGAGGAACCGGGAGAGGACGAGAGGAGGCGCAGGGGGGGGGGGAAGATAGGGCCGGGGGGGAGAGAGACAGATACAGAGGGAAAGGGAACACCAGCTACACAGACAGAGAAGGAGAGAGAGAGAGAGAGAGAGTGCGTGTGTGTGTTGACAAGGAACGCGCGCGCATCCCCGACCCCCCGCCGGATGGTCAGGGGTGGGAGGCGTTGGTTCGCGCTCGCGCCGCTCCCGTCCCAGCCCCCCCCCTTTGCCTCCTCCTCGCCTCCACCTTCAAATGGGGAAGCTGACATGCGTCGCACTTCCTCGCGGATGCACCGCGGCGCGACTCTGGGCGAACGACGACGGCGGCGAACGACCAACGACAAACGATTGCAAATTGGGGACGAACGACGACCGACGAAGAACGACCGGTGACCAGGACGACATCGGTCGAAGAGCGGCGAACGACGACGAATTACGGACGACGGGTTGCGAACGCCGAGCGACGCCGCACATGCGGGCGCACCGCATCGCGACCAGCGCGCGGGGGCCGGGCCGGTCAGCATGAGCACTTGAAAGGTTCTTTGGGAACCGTCATGCCGCGTCAGGATTCCTCTGGCGCGGACTCGCGCGTCGCATCGACGGCGGTCTCGGCCCGCGATTTTCGTGCGGGAGTCGGCGCGCGGCGCCAAGCAGCCTCCCCGGTCGATTGTGTAGCGCCCGCGCGCGCAGGGAAGGACCGCGCGTAGCATCGGCGAAAATCTCGGGACGCAGATTCTCGCGCTGGGGCTGGCGCGCTGGGGCTGGCGCGCAGCGCCAGGCAGAGTCCTTGCGCACCCGCGGAATGATGTTTCGAATCACCACCTACCAAACCACCCCAACCCAACCCGAAGGCACGAATTTGCCCTCCATTTCCAGTGGGGGGGGGGTCGGGGAACATCGAGAAAACACGTATGAGGCCCGTACCCCCCCCAACCCGAAATTCGGGTCTTCGGGTCGGGTTGGGGTGGTCTGGTAGTCAGTCTCGGCGCCGCGGCCCCGACCCGCCAGGGCCGACGGCGCCTCGCTGGCGCGCCGGAGCGCACGCGCGCGCGCCTGCGCGCGCGGCCGGCTCTGCGGCTGCCCCGCGAGCGCGCCGCGCGCGCGGGCGCGACCGCCGCGCGACCGCCGCGCGGGGGGGGGGGCTGCAGGGAAACAACGTAGCACCCCGCAATTGCGGATAAGAGTGGGGGGGCGGCCACGGGGGGGACGACGCCAAACAAACAAACAAACAACAAACAACAAAGAACAATCAACAACAGCAACTACAAACTACAGACTACAAACAACAAACACAACACACATCAAACTACAAACAATAAACAACAAACAACAAACAACACATCACAAACAACAAACAACAAACAACGAACAGCACACAGCACACAACAAGCAACAAACAACAAACAACAAACAACAAACAACAAACAACAAACAACAAACAACAAACAGCAAACAACAAACAACAAACAACAAACAACAAACAACAAACAACAAACAACAACAATAACAACAACAACAACAACAACAACAACAACAACAACAACAACAACAGCAACAGCAACAACAACAACATAACAGCAGCAACAACAACAACAATAATCCGCATCGCGGAATTCCACTTCAGCCACGCACCCAGGGACACTGAATGACCGTTCGGCCTCCTCACTCTGACGTACATTGTGTTCTCGGGGTCCGCCCTGCCGCGTCGACCAGTGCTTCCTGGAAGCTTCCTGTGGCTCCTGGGACATCCTGAGGCGTCCTGGAGCCTCTTCCGGGGTCCCCGAGGGCCTCCTGAGGCTTCCTGGGGCACCATGGGGCTCAATAGGGCCCCTCTGGAGCTTCCTTGGGCGTCTGGGCGCGCCTGGCGGCATCTGTCTGGGACGCTTGGGGGCGGCTGCGGGCGCCTGAGGGGGTTTGGGCACCCATGGAGCGTTTGGCAGCGATTGGGAGCGCCTGGGGCGTTCGGGCGAACTTCTGAAGCGTCTGGGGGAGCGGAGAAGCGCCTGCGAGCGTGTGGAGGCGTCTGCGAACGCTTGGGGCCGCTTGGGGAACACCTGGGGCT